TTATAATAAAGCAATGCTTTTTTATAATTATTCATTTAACTGAAAATATTTCCAATTGTATTATATGTGAGTGAAGTAAAACGTTTATGGTAATGCTAATTAGATTATCATTATTATTATTTTTTATAATAATAGAGTTGATCAAGATTTCCGTAAATTTGTGTAAGTTCTAGATAGTCAACCGGTAATATTTGTATTCCTATTTCAAGCGCTTTCATGATTTTATAATGCATTGCAATAATCTTTAATCATATGATGCATTTCTCCCAAGTCATTGTATAATGTTATAAGCTAAATATCATCAGGAGATAAATGTTCTAAGATAATTTTTTAAAATGCCATTTCATTCATCTTTAACGCATTGACCAATTTATAATACATTATACTAAGATTTCGATAGGTCATTGCTAGATCCGAATAATTTGACTGTGGTAATATTAAATGAATTTCAAGTTCTTTATGATAATTTGTTACTGCTTTATCATAATTTTCTTTAGCAGCATAAACAGCTGCCATGTTGTTATATGTTACAGCAAAACGGAAGTAATTCTTTTTCTACAGGCTTTTTCTAGCCTCTTGTTTTCTAGCAGAAATCGATCGGAAATCGGAATATAGAATAAACAGAATTCGACACGGACAACTTCAACGACAATTGATTTTTCCAATGAGTTCGTCGGATTCAAAAGCGGGTGTCACGCATTCCCTTCTTTTTTTCCAATATTTAACAGTGCGATGGGTCATTGAAAGGCACTCCTCAGCGTTTGATGGAACACAAAGTCGGACTAATTCTCGATGTTCTATTGACCATTTCAGATAAGACGAACGAGCAGTTCGGACTATTTTTCGAATCGTTCAACGACATCGAGCTAAAGAAAACGTTCGATTGTTTCTGTCATTATGTTATTCGGTGTTTGAATTTCATCAAAATCTCTGCGTCCTCAAAGGGGAAGAGAAATACCTGACATAATCTACACAACTAGAAGATTTTACTAGTCCAGTTAAGTCATTGTTGTTACCATGGATGTTGGACTGAGCTGTTGTGTTATTAGATGGAATATTACAAGGTGTTATTGGATGGACGGAAAAAGACCCTGTAGCATCAATTGATTTACGCCCTTCAAAGACAAATCCAAATCCACAATTAAGTATTCTGGTTGAAAACAAGGGGCGCTGTTGTGCTTTACTAGCGGATTTTGGATGCAGTTTTAAGGGCATGAAAGGGAAACCTCGATTAGATTTACAACAATTAGACAATTGGACGATCACTAAATTACCAATGGATGAAAAACTGACTAACCAAGCGACAACATTTGGTTGGAAGGCACTACCATCTAATATGTCGATAGTATCATCATCATTCTATAGAGCTACATCATCAGCGAAATTTTAGTAGTTGAAAGTAATCGACGAGAAATGTCATTCAATATGAGAGAAAGAAATATGACATTTATGGATCATCGCCTGAGGACTAGTTAAGTAAAGAACAGTGCGATGCATTCACATGTTTTCAGTTAGTTCTTACATCATTTTCTATCTACAAAATTATTTAAATGTTGTGTAAAAAGAACAAGAATCGTATTGCGTTCAAGTCTTTGCACGCAAGTGTATCGAGTGTAGAATCACCTGCTGTTTGTAGGAGGGAAAGGGCATGCTACTGTATCGCAGTTGTCTAAAGCGTGCATGTTAAAAATGAAAGTAAGTGTGTTCAAGTCTATCTCACAGATCTCATAATAAGTAAAGGAAATCTTGGTAAGATCCTCAACAGAATTGCAAGGCTGGATCCTAAACAGTAAGAGTAAGAATTATCCAGCAATCTGAGAGCCTAAATAGTTAATTTTTTTACAAAAAATATTTTAGGATCCTATAAGATCTTATATAGGATCCGATCTAAACTTGTTAGGAACTTGTGACCAGAAATGTTCAAGTGTTGCTAGGATTATTATAAGATCCTGGCAAGATCTGAAGATAGGATCCTACGAAAATCTTAACAAAACTTGAAAATTTTTGGTCACACGTCTCTATCAAGTTTCGCTAGGATCCTACCGACTTTCTAGCGCAATCTTGTTCAGATTTTGACAGAGATAAAGCAAGATCTTGACAAAAAATTGATAAGATATTCATTAGGGTACGATCTGACCGATTCACATTTGGCTCCTTGCGAAAAATGATTGGATTTACAATAGGAGGATTCTCCATTGGAGATTCCAAACATTAGGCTTCGTTGCAAAATACTCAACATAGTTTTAATTTCGCGATCATCCTGAAAAATGGGCGTTCTAGTCTAATTTCTCGTTACCGGAACCTTGATGGAGTGTGCTCGAAAATCATGTTACATTTCCTACAGATCTTCTCTAAAGCATACTTTTCGATGAACATCTCAAATAAGTGCTATAGTCGTTCGTCGGCAGCCGCTCCCACGTTCAGGTCTACTTACATCATTTACCATTTTCTAAAACTCTTTTAGGGTTCGTAACTGTTTGCAGATTCTTAAACCCTTCTAAACGGTTTAATAATTTCATGTACCCGTTCCAAAACCTTAAATGCCCAACGAAGCACTTACTTAATAACAAAAACAAAAACAAATCGGATCGAATAACCAATTTGTCGCACACGAAACACAAAACTTTTATGAATTTTAAATGGACTTACGAGGGAACCTTCGCGAATGATTAAGCCAATTTGAGTTGATATTTTGTCGAGTAACAGGGTCAATGATGGTAAGAAAAGAGCCTAAGTGGATTTGGGCGCATGCAGTCTGGTTGCGGGGTTATGAATGATTTAATTTATTTCTACAAAGGAAGTTAATATTCGCTTAGGTATTTTCATATTCTATCATCGGTACCATTTTAACAGCTGAAAACCTTTTTACAAGTTCATCTAGGTAGCATCTAGTTATCCTGAAAATTTCATGTTTACATCTCTCGTGCTAGAAGAGAAATTAATTTTTTCGTTTCTTAAGCCATTGGTGTATCCTTCTTATTTTTCTCATATCTCAATATCGAAACGATTTCCAGTGCTGGAATTCTTTTGGCAAATGCACCTCACCTACTCATAATCTAACAGTTCGGGAAAACTCACGAGGGAATCTTGCCAGGTGTCCCCTCCGTTCTCGTTCATATTGTGCCTATTTGATAGAGAACAGTGTCCTGGTGCACGATCCAGGGGCGTTTATGCTATCTCTATAGGTGTGTTATATAGTGAAGATTGGTTGGGCAACGTTTGAACCTGTTTGGGACTTTGGAAACTTTTGAAACTTCATTGAACCGAACGTAGCTCTAGCGAAAATCCCTTAAAAGGATGGCCACATTAGAAGACTCGGGGTCTTCTAATGAGATCATAACTCTCTGCAATAAAACACGCAGTTCAAAGACGCAGTAATTTCATGACTGAATCATTATCCGTAAGTGTTTAAGAGAAATTTTAGTTATGAAAGTAATAGAAGATTTGCACAGAAGTGAGAGATGTGCACAGAAGAGAGAGGCAGAAAGAGGGACACCAAAAGATGATCGCAATATGGCGTTGTTTTCGTTACATATCACGCCAAATAGATCGCAACAGAACAGACAGACACATACACGTGTATTGGAGGCATGGGCGAGTCCTTAAAAATTCAAGCCGAGTCCATTTCGAGTCCGGTAATTTTTTAGATTCTTTTTTTGATGAGTGTGGTTTATTTCTCTTTTATAATTTACTGAGCCCTGGATAGATATTTGATTTGTCGAAGATAAGGTTACTTTGCACGTCTGCCGCCTGAACAAAATTTTCAATTTCTTGAGAAACAGAAGGTGTTATTATTTCGCTTTTCATTTTTCTCTGCTCATTTGTGTTGAAAGTTGAACAGATCGGACTCGAAATACAAAAACTCAAGTCCGAGTCTGAGTCCTTAAAAAAAATCTTCAGTCCGAGTCCGCCAAAAAATCTTCCAGTTCGGACTCGGACTCGCCCATGCCTGGTGTATTGACCACACGTTGTTTCGTAAAGAGAAAGAAAAATATTATTGTGCTTCAGCTACAGAGATGCATATTCAAAGAAGCGCAAAAAAGGTAAAAAAAAGTTGCAAAAAATCTCAAAATTCTCTCTTTGTTTAGGGGAGTCTTCTAATCTGTCTTTTGCTTCGCCCACTCAAAGGGGATCTTCTATTCTAGAGGGGTCTTCTAATGTGTCCATGGCTTTAGTTTGAGTAAATAATTTTTTCTCTGAGACTTTGGATCCGACCTTAATCATTTCTTTCCTGATAAATAGTAAAGTAGTTTAGTTTCACATTAAAATCTTTTCACGACATCCATGTATTCTCAGGCTATACTTTACACATGTCATTGCCACCGTTCCTGAACGCTTGAAACAAAATTTTAAATAATTAAAATAATTAATTAAATGGCTCATATCTTTAAGTGTGTGAAGTAGTAATTAAATAGTAAAAACTGCATCTTCGATATTTTCTAAATGTTACGAACGTTGCTCGCTGTGTGAGCTCTACTCTTCAAAAGACCTGAAAAAGTTATCTACAGTCTTTCTAATAGTTCAAAACGTTTAGATCTTTGAAAAAAATATGTTCTCTTTTCCATGTATGTTCAGTTCAGTGGGTATACAGAATTTACTTTCATTTTTTTTTTGGATTCTTCTTCTTCTCTGTTTTTTTCCTATAGGAAAGAAACATATGGTACTTTTTGCTATAGTAGATTCACTTTTCAACAGTTTATCTTGAGAAAGTTTTCAGATTTAAAGACAGAGGTTTGGTTCAGTTAAATCGTATGTGCAAAAGTCAAAGTCGAATTAGAATTCGAAGTTCGAAAATTTTTTTGTTTGTTTTGTCATCGAGTTATGTAACTGTCTCTTGGGAAATTCAAACATACCAAACAGGGCTGGGCAACTCGGCTGACTTTCAGAGGGCGGTCATAACTTTGTTGTCAAACGTCAAGCTATGAATGTTATGAATGTTCAACAGTCTATGATAAATCACTGACAAGCCTTGCGTAAACAATTAAACAGTCACAAATCATCCGCTCGTGTTTGACATCAGTCACGTGATCCCACGACGTTTACCTAACTCACTCTCAGTTTGCACACCCCCACCCCACCACTACGTCACGACATGCCTCAACCGGATACCCACAGATGGTCAAACATTCATCATTCATACATTCATGTTTGACATATGTCAAACGTGTCATGACACAATTCTGTGCTGTCATAACATGTGTCAAACGGATACCCATAGACAGTCAAACATTCATCATTCATACATTCATGTTTGACATATGTCAAACCTGTCATGACATAATTTTGTACTGTCAAACATGAATGTATGAATGATGAATGTTTGACTGTCTATGGGTATCTGTTTGACACATGTTATGACAGCACAGAATTGTGTCATGACAAGTTTGACATATGTCAAACATGAATGTATGAATGTTGAATGTTTGACTGTCTATGGGTATCTGTTTGACACATGTTATGACAGCACAGAATTGTGTCATGACAAGTTTGACATATGTCAAACATGAATGTATGAATGATGAATGTTTGACTGTTTATGGGTATCTGTTTGATACATGTTATGACAGCACAGAATTGTGTCTTGACACGTTTGACATATGTCAAACATGAATGTATGAATGATGAATGTTTGACTGTCTATGGGTACGTGTTTGACGCATGTCATGACAGGATATGAATGTAGCAAATTTATGATTATGTTTGACATTCTTATGGAAAGTTTTGACACGACGTTTGACAAAATAGTTATGACCGTTCTGGACTTTCAACTCCAACTCCACTCCAACTCAACTCCAGATTCAAATTTCCAACTTCGCTCAAAATTTTTCAACTCCAACTCCAACTCTCTCAACAAAAATCTCAACTCCAGTTCAACTCCGATTGCTTTACTTTTGTAAGGAAGATTTTTCGGTTTTTAGCAGGATTCGGGACATTTTTGAGCTTTTTCCGGCAGGAAAGCGCAAAGAACTTCCGAATTCACTCGTGAATACAGCCATTCAATGGATTAGAAGATCAGTTTACAACTATTGAATATTTCCAAAAATGCAAAACGGAGTTGAGAATAAAAATTCAAAAACGCAACTCAAACGTACTAAAATTTCAACTCCAACTCTAACTCCAACTCCGCTAAGGTCAACTCCAACTCCACCAAAAAAAATCCTCAACTCCGAAGTTGGAGTTGCCCAGGCCTGATACCAAAGTGACGTTACTGCGACAAGTGGACCTGTATTTCAGCAAGAAACACCGGTGAAATGTTTACGCGCACTCTCATCCTACCGATACACCGACATTACCGCAAATGACGTGAAATCTCAGCGAAGTTA